GCCATTGATTGTAATGCTGGTTGTTGGATTTCATAAATAGCTTTAATTACTTATATTGAGGTATTTTCCGTTTCGTCCTATCTTTTTGAGTGTCTTAATTAGGAGTGGGTGTTGAATGTTGTCGAATGTTTTTTCTGAATTTCATGATATCATGTGGTCCTTGTCCTTTTTCTTCTCAATGTGGTGGATGATGTTGATGGATTTTTGAATGTTGAACCAACCCTGCATCCCTGGTAGGAATCCCACTTGGCTGTGATGGATTATTATTTTTATATACTTCTGTATTCTATTGGCCAAGATTTGTTAAGGATTTTTGCATCTATGTTCATTAGAGATATCAGCCTGTAGTTCTCTATTCTTGTGGGATCCTTGCCCGGTTTTGGTATCAGTGTAACACTAGCTTCATAGAATGTGTCTGGGAGTTTACTGCTCTTTCTATGTTGTGGAAGAGCTTGTGCAGCATTGGTGTCAGCTCGTCCCTGAATACTTGGTAGAAGTCTCCTGTGAAGCCATCTGGGCCAGGGCTCTTTCTAGTTGGTAGTTCCTGGGAACCTATCTGTATCTTCTTTTGCTGAGTCTGTTCAAGTTCTTGACGTCTCTGTGGGTTAATCTGGGGAGGGATTTTTTCCCAGATATTCGTCCATGTCTTCCAAGTTGTTGTGTTCCTTGCAGTGCAGCCCTTCGTAGGACTGTGTAATGAGTCTTTTAATTTAATTGAGGTCTGTTGTAATTTCCCATTTCATCCCTCAACCTGGATATTGATGTCTGCGCCTTCCTATTTTTGTTAGTTTGTCAACAGTTTGTCCATTCTGTTAATCCTTTAAAACAGTGGTTCTCAACTTGTGGGTCGCGACCCCTTTGGGGGTCAAACAACCCTTTCACAGGAGTTGCCTGATTCATAACAGTAACAAAATGACAGCTATGAAGTAACAACGAAAATAATTTTGTTGGGGGGCTGGGCGGGTCACCACAACATGAGGAACTGTACTAAAGGGTCATGGCATTCGGATTGGGGGGTTTGGGGTCACCACGACATGAGGAACTGTATTAAAGGGTCGCCACATTCAGAAGGTTGAGAACTACTGCTTTAAAAGAACTAACTTTTTACAGAGTTAATTTTCTCCATCTTTTGTTTTTTTTCTTTCATTTACTCTGCCCTGACCTCTAGAACCCCCACAGGTGCCTGAAGGGTTTCTGGCACTCAGTGAAATGGGGTGATTCTCTTTCTAGGACACTGAGTTCTGACCGCATAAGGGAGTCCATTGAAGAGCACAATTGTGGAAGTGTGAAGTTGATAAAACGTTACAAAATGTCACTCGACTCATGTCACTGTTTTGGGTAGTCATTCCACAGATTTTGAAGTTCACCGGAATTGGCTCGCGATCACGCACAGTTTACCATTATCACAGTGGTATTATGAGGTAAGTTTCAATGTCACCTTTTTTAGGCTAAAAAAAAATTATTTTTTTAGTGGTACAGAAAACCACAAACATATTGCTGATGTGAGCAAATCTTCTTTATAATTAGAGGTCTAATCTTTATGAAAATTGTGTGTTTTCTGCATTTCTGTTCTCTGGCACTTTTAGGGACTCCCCTTCACAATGGGTTTCCCAGTCTGTAAATCGCGATCTCTAATAGCTGCTAGTCCTTTTGAAAGTACACTGAATTGAAAGAGATAAACTGAATTCTGGGCCTGGGTCAGCCCCGAACTAGTACTACAGCCTTAGAAAAGACGTAGCTTCTTTGGGCCATGCTGTCTCAGCTAGCAGATAGGGACTTTGAGTCGATTATTTTTAAGATCTTATCTATCCATACTACTTTGTGATGTTATATAAAGAAAGGGATACCACATATGATTGGCAGATTCCAGATCATTTTAGAAATCATTCTATTATTTCGAAAAGCCATGCCTATTATTTTATTCCCGCAATGAGTTACTGAATCGCACGTGGTCTTGAAAGAAAAGCAGACATCAGCTAAGGAAGTTTTGGATCAAAAGCAACTCTCTGCTGTGAGGGAGACTTTGTGAGGCAGTAAGTTTCTTGTGGCTTTTGGGGGTCTGGGGATTTTGTGCGTTTGGTGGAGGGGCAGATCCCAGTAGTCCTTTGTGCTGGAAAAGCTTAAGAACAATGGACTGAGGTGATTAAGTTCCTTCTCTGTTGAGAGCCGTGCATACTCACAGGAAGACTGAGTAGTTCCTTTAGTGCCTGTTATTTCAAGTTGTCAATCTGCATTTCAGCTTTGAGGGTGTTCTGTGTGCCATGAGCATGAGTTGTCAAAAAAATTAAATTAAAAAAAAAGCATGGGTTGTCACTTGACAGGCTTTCAGCTAAGTGACTTTCAGCTCTGTCACTTTATGACAATGCTGAGTGACCAGACGCAAGCTGTTTGACCTCTCCGAACCCCACTGTCCCTTACTATTAAGATGGTAATAATAATAATAAATACTTGTTACTCATTTCTGCCTGGTTTAATTCAGTGCTGTGTGTCCCTACACACAGACACACACCTATATAGAGTATAAATGTGTAGTGTGTGACACAGTAACCAATTAAGGTAAGTACTCCCATCCCTGTTGGATGTATAGTTATATGAGGAAACTGAAACTCAGAGAACACTAACAAAATATTACGCCTGAAACATGGAAACCCGAGTTTCCATCACGAGTCAGAAGCAACCCAGGGCAGTACATCAAGGAAAGCGAATATGTCTCGTGAATGATGTGTGTTTTCATTCATTGAACAACTGGTTACTCTATTTAAGACTTAATGTTATGCCAGGCACTGATGGGACGCTGCGGATACAGAGATGACAATAGGGTGCTTTCACCCGTGTCAGGATCTTAGGACTGAGTGCAACAGAGAAGTAGCGTTTCCATCGCATTTGTAATGTATGAATATATGTCATATGCACTGTCTCATTCCATCATGGTAATAATAATCGCTTCTGTTGGAAATAGGAAAATTGAGTCTCAGACGAGTGAATCATTGGCTCCCAAGGTTTCAGATTAACTTCCTCTATGTTTGCTGTTTAAGGGAGTGGATGACCACGTGGAACAGCTTAGAAAACCAGGTTTTCATGTTCTGCTCAATTTGACATAAGAGTCGCTCTATTCAGGCCCTGGTTTAAAGCCAACTTCCTCATGCTTTCTGAAAGACAAAGAGAGACAGAATTTTAAATGTCTGTGTCCCTTATTACTGCTCTTTCGTTTGCTTTCAGAGTGTTTTATTGGTTATCCTTTCCGTCAGAGGTGTTAAATCTTTGCTTTCACCACAGGCAACTTCGGAGTGGACCTTGGATTACCCTCCCCTTTTTGCATGGTTTGAGTATGTCCTGTCACATGTTGCCAAACTTTTTGATGGAGAGATGCTGAATGTCCAGAATCTGAATTACTCCAGCTCAAGAACGGTCCTTTTCCAGAGACTGTCCGTCATCTTTGCAGATGCGCTCTTTGTGTATGCCGTCCACGAGTGAGTCTGCATTGTGGTTTTGGGTAGAGATGCCCAAGTACTGTGCTATTAAAGAGTACTAACTTGTTATGATTTGGGGGAAGCAAAGTTCATATTGTAGCCGATACCAGCAGAATCCAAAACTGTCTTCCGTTTTAAATTGTGTCATGACTAATTTGTAGTAAGCCATCTGGCCGCATCTTGTAGAGGACATGGGGGTGCAAAAGACGGTGGATGCTGAGTGAAGAAGTAGTCCAAAACACAGGTCCAGGGCCCACTCTTCCACCATAAATGGCTTCATTTGCTTTTCTCTCTTTCCTGCTCAAGTGCCCAGAGGCTGCCATCACCTACCCAATTGTTAAATAAATACGTTTTCTTGGCATGTAATTCACATATCATGCAATTCCATTGTTCCATCTCATTAAAAAAGGTTGTGCAAACATCAGTACCATCAACGTTAGTATATTTTCTTCCTTCTTGTTGTTGTGTTCATTAGCTCCCATTTCCCCCAGCCTCCCTTGTCATCCCTCTAGGTTATTACTGATCCAGTTGCTGCCTCTATTGATTTACCTGTCCTGAATCTTATCTACGGAAAAACATGCAAAACAAAAGCAATGAACAACAACAACAAAGACAAAATGAAAGAGAAAACAGGAGAAAATACTACTTTTTAAATGTAGCACAAGGGAGATCCACTGACAAGGTGCTGCATTTTAATCTCACTGCGTCCGCCATGATGGGCTTTGCAGCACTCTGTGTCGGACAGCAAGGCTGATCACGTCCCTCCACTGTGGTCCAGGCGAGTCACTACGCCTTAATTCACATGGATTTTGCACCGCAAATGACTTTTGGGTTTCCACTGTCACCCCGAGTCTTCTGCAAATTGGGTATGCTGAATTGAAGTGCGAATACCATTCCCTCCTCTGGATTTGGATTTTATTATTTACCATCCTCGTTTCATACAGGCTAGTGCGTTTATTCCATTTGGACTTACTGGATGCCTCACTTAGATGCCTGCTTGTTTGAAGACAACCCTTTAAGACCCCAGACGCTATTTTTCCTGATAGCTGGACTACCAGTTCTTTGGGACACACTCACCACATGCCCATTTGTGCACATGGATGCCTGCGCTATCCACCAAAGGCCATGCTTTCCTGGCAGTTACATTCTAGTAAGCTCAAGAAACCTTAATGAGTACTTATAGTTGTTTCTGGACTGTTCATGAAGCCTGCTGGTATGGTGGGTCACAACTGGAACTCAAGTCCATTCGATAATACTTATCACCGATGGATATTTCTGTTTTTGAGGTCCTCTGGACTGAACCCATGCCCCATTCAAGAAAAAGTCCCTTGGGAAGCTTAATCCTTGTTCATGCTCATCGAGTAACTGTTTGATACCAGAACCTTTCATCTGTTTATGCCCTGGCAAGATTAGGAAGGAAAGCTGCTTTCCTATAACCCAGATTTGAAACATTCAAGCTCCCAGGGAAGAGAAAAGGAGCCCACTCTCACCCATAATGTGGAGGCAGCGATTGAGTGACAACCAGGTCCTATGCATAACTCACTGCCACTGAGTCAGTTCCAACTCATAGTGACCCTCCAGGACAGAGTAGAACTGTCTCTGTGGGTTTCTGAGACTGTAACTCTATATGGGATAGAAAGCCTCATCTTTCTCCCAAGGAGCAGCTGATGGTTTCGAACTTCTGAGCATGTGGTTAGCAGCCGGCTCATAACCCACTATGCCACCATGGTTCTTCAGCCCTATGTCTGGATTCCTTAATTTCTCTATTACTCTGTAAGGTCACTGTCTTTGCTAATAAGGAAATTGGGGCCAAGGTCAGTAGTTCAAAACCGACCAGTAGCTCCTTGGGAGAAAGAGAAGACTTTCTGCTCCCATAAAAAGAGCCGCAGTCTCGGAAACCCACAGGGACAGTGCAGATCTGCCCTTCAGGGTCACGAAGAGTCAGAATTGGCTGAATGGCGGTGAGGGAGTCTTAGTTTGGCTGATAGGATGATACATCCTTCATAGTGTTTTCAGAATGCTTGCTTTACAGAAGTACTGATCTGATGAAAATCCAAGTCATTTCTGATTCTTTGCTGGTGTTTCACTGTAGGTGCTGTAAATGCATCGATGGGAAAAAGGCCAGTAAGGAACTCACTGAGAATCCCAAGTTCATTCTGTCAGTGTTACTGCTGTGGAACTTCGGGCTCATTATTGTGGACCGTATCCTTGGCGTTTTATGTTCTTTCGCCTGTCTTGTTCTGTTATATACCAAGTCTAAGATTGATTTTTCTACCGTGATTGTGAAATATGCTTTTGAAAGTGAGTGGAGAGTGAGCTGGTGAGTTCCCTAGACTGTGGGCTCTCTACCACTTTCCTGGGCTTCCTGGGCTTCGCCCTTGGAGAGTTGGGAGTGATGCGTGTGAACCAGTAAACCAGCCCTAAGCAATAAAAACAGGACTTCATGTTGCCTTCATTCCATTTTCCACAAGCTTTCTTTGGAAGCTCCTTCATGTACTGGGATTTGTTAACAGAATTTAGAGTAGTCTACTATGTACTTGTACTTAGTTTTATAACACCTTTTTATAGGAAAAACATATGTTACAGTGTATCTTAAGGAAACAGGCCTTCATGCTTTTAGACCACCTTGGCTGAGGTCTTAAATCCAGGGAACCCGAGTACACTTAAAATCCTCACGATAGAAACCTGGCTGTCTGTTTCTCTAGAGCAGTGATTCTCAACCTTCCTAATGCCGACCCTTTCATACAGTTCCTCATGTTGTGGTGACCCCTCTAACCATAAAATTATTTCCGTTGCTACTTCATCACTGTCATTTTGCTGCTGTTATGAATCGGGCAAGCCCTGTGAAAGGGTCGTTTGACCCCCAAAGGGGTCACGACCCACAGGTTGAGAACCGCTGCTGTAGAGGCAGCCTGGTGTGAAGGAAAGCACAGGCGTTACCTCCAATCAAATCCTGGTTAGGCTGCAGTAGCTGTAGGACCGTGAGTAAGTTACTGCCACTGAGCCCTAATCTACTTATTTATAAAACCAGAGTGATAGTTCAGTGTGAATTAATAAATAAGATTGTGCCTGTACTATAAACAATGCTGGGCTAATAGTGAAGACTTGGGGTGGGGTCAGAAGAACAGCTTGCCTTTTAAGAGAGTAAGATGCGTTGTTTCTGGATCTTTAAGGTAGAGGAAAACCTACTACGTTTCCTCTTTTTTCCTTCATGAACAGAACTTTTATTGAAAGACTGCCTAGGAGTTGACTCTCTCTATGGAAATCACGTTGATGAGAAAGTCGCGTTGGTAGCAATGTTTTTGTCTTTAATATACCAATGAAGAAAACATTTGTAATCTCTGTATTAGATAGGTTGGCAAGTTTTCTTGTGAATTCAGCATCTTCTTTGCCCTTCCTTGACCTCAGTTCAGATATTCATTTCCAGTACAATGGCTTTTTATTGGGATTAATGCTACTTTCCATTGCACGGTTATTTCAGGTGAGCACAAAATTGGTGAATTAGATTTTCCCCCTTGAACATGGCTTTCAGCTTGCAAAGGCAACAATATAATGAGTGATGGCTACATTTTGTTGACTGTTTCAAGTGCCCACATACTCTAGAGGTTTTTATGGGCTGCTCTTCACAAATCCCCTCTTTTTTGGCAGTATTTTCTTCATCTTCCGATTGAGAAAATGATAGTCTAAAAACTGATCACAGTGCAGCGAGTTTTAATTAAACTTGAGTTTGTAGTGTTTGGCTGGGTCATTTATCTCAGTGTAAACTGGCAGTTTTTACAATGTAAAACTCTTGGTGGCGGTGCTTTGCCATCTGGAGCTCGTAGGACAGTGCCTTGGGAAGTATGGGATTTACAATCAGAAGCCCTGGGTTCGAATCCTGGCTCGAGTGAGCTGTGTGACCCAGGCAATGTGTTCTCAAAGGCAATGGCAACTTCCCATTAGGCACATTACAAGGGTCTGACTGAGAAAAGCTCATGACCATTCGGTAAGGGTGGTATCATCACCCCTTCATAGAGGAGGAACTAGATTTCTGGGCTCCCTGCTCCACAGTGAATCAAAGTCTCTGAAATAGAGGCCTGGAGATCCCCAGGGAGTGTCTGACACGCATTAACTCAAGACAAAACACATAACCCTTTCGGCTTGTCTCCTCACTCAAAGACCCGTCTTACAGTCTTATTTGTAAAGTAATGCTGCCCATTTCACAGGGACTTTGGAAAGATCAAATTTGGTAATGCATTTTAATGTTCTTTATGGACTATAAATATCAGGATACTTTTTCCCCCTCCTTTAGCCACAAAGTACATAGAACATAATTGATTATCAATGAATGATCATTGGATGGTTGTTAAACAAATGAACTAAAATTTGGCTGCAGAATCAGGCCTAATCTGATTCTTAAATAAACTGTAAAATTGGTGAGGAGAGCTTTCTGGAAGCATTTTTCTTTCCTTTTTCTTAAACCAGTATATTCTAGACCACATCTGGTGGGACAGCAAGGGAAGGCACCCGCTTTTGCATGGTCCCTCTGGCAATGCCGTTTGTTCACAATCTGATCTCATTTGATCCTTCCAAAATTCTTGTGAGGTAGGTAGAATTCAAACTGACTGACAGTCAATTCTGGGTTTTTTAAAAAAACTTTTTAATTTTTAAAATAAGAATGCCTCTATTCTCTTGGATAGTTTGTTAAGATCTAGTGCTTCAGCCTAGGAGAAGCAGGTGTACCATATCTGTCCGATGGGATGTAAATGGTCCTTTAGCAGCATGGTCCCATCGGTGTTCATGCCTACTCCCATTCTCAGCTCCTTTGTAGAAATCAGCGCGAGCTGTCGTAAAACAGTCAGGACTGGTGTGGCGGTGGGTCGTGGAATTCTCTGGGCGCTATTGCCATAGGGAGAATTTAGTGCGTGTTGTCACTGATGGTGTATATCCTATACCTCAGCCTCAAACTTAGTCTTAACAAGTATTTGTTGAAATACTGAATTTATGAACCCACTAAATGCCCTATACAAACTGGCTGGAATCACTCGACTGTTCTCTTTATATTGCCTGAAGAATGATTATCCTGGATTTTTATAACTTTTTGTTTTATTTATTTATTTATAGCTTTTTATTATAGGAAATTTGAATCACTTATCAAGGAAGAGGAGATAAGAATTTCCATGCACACATACACACAGGATTATTTTGAAACATATCCCCCCTACCTACCGCCATCAAGTTGAATCCAACTCATAACAACCCTGTACAATGGAGCAGAACTGCCTTGTGTTTCCAGGCTGTCGATCTCTGTGGAGGCTGGCTGCCACTCCTGCAGAGTGGCCCTGGGGTTCAGACAGTTGACCTTTTGCTTTACATTCAAGCACTTTAACAACTGTGCCACCAGGGCTTCTTCAAACACATCCTAGGCATCGTGTTTTATTTATGAGTCTTTAAAGATATATATATCTATATATATAAATATCCTGTTTGGGAATCATTTTAAATTTGCAGAGAAATCACAAGGACAGTGCATACTTCTCCTCCAGTGTCTGCTCGTGGTCACATCTCACATGACCATCGGACCTTTCTCAAGGCCAAGGACCCACGGGGATCCCTTTGGATTGCACCAGCTTCTACTAATATCCTTTATCTGTCCCCAGGTCCCATCTAAGGAACTCTAGGATTACATTTATTGCCGCCCCACCCCCCTCGCATTGATTAAAATAGTATTTCTCTTTTGAATCTCCTAGAAAAGAGCCCTGGAAGGAGCAGTTCTGTTTGCTGCCCTCCTGCATTTCAAGCACATTTACCTGTACGTAGCCCCAGCCTATGGCATATATCTGCTACGGTCGTACTGTTTCACCGCGAATAAGCCAGGCAAGTGTTAGTGATCATAGCAAACTTTCCAAATGTGTGCGCTCCCTACTGCGTGGGCTTGGTGGCATGCTTTGTGAAAGAGCTTAAGAAGGAATGGCAGAGCTGTTGGCTACTGATCCATTAAAACCTGTACCCGTTCTTGCTGCCCTCTGCTCTTGCCACTTCCTAAAGATTGTTGTAGCACGGAGGATGCTTTGAGCTTCCACGCACGGCTGGGTGAGGACTTCCCGTGCGCTTGGTTAATGGTATTGTTCCTTTTCTGCAGATGGGTCCGTCCGCTGGGACAGTTTCAGCCTTGCCCGCGTTGCTTCCCTGGGGCTGATTGTTTTCATAGTTTCTGCTGTCTCGCTGGGCCCTTTCCTCGCCTTGGTAAGTTCTCTTTTTGTGTCGATCACTCTCTCTCTTGAAGAAAATAACTTGTTTTTGTTGTTGCTTTTATTTAGGAAAGGAAATAAATAAATAAAACCACATCTGCAGAAAATAAGTAAGTAGATAGATAAAACCAGGGATACATAAAATAGGAAGTAGTTACTCCTTTAGGACTCCTCTGTCCCAGAATGACTCCCCTACAAAGGGTGGTGTGCATATTTAAAAACATGTGTGAATGTGTTTAACTTTGTGTCAGCCACACTTTATTTTCCTCAACATCCTTAGGAGCACACTGTGCAAACTGTTTTGTAGCTTTTATAAATTAAGAACATTTGCCCCTTTGAGTAGCAAAAGGTAAATTGTTCTTACAGCTGCATAATAGTTCATTGCATACTAAAAACTTCGTTGAAATCTGTTTTTTCTCACTTTAGAAGGTGTTCCACTCTAAAATCAAACCTCATGGATTAGCACTTAGATGGTCACGTGATCACAGTAAAACTACTTATTTAAGCAGTTCCCCATGATGAGCATTTAGGTTCTTTCCACGTTTTTAGCAAAAGCAAGCGTTGGTGCAGGAAAATCCATATGTATATGTTTAGGCACGTGGGTGAGCAGATCTGTTGGGTAGATACCTACAAGGGAATTTGTGGGTCAAAAGGTACTCATATATTTATAGGTTTAGTATTAAGGTAGCAGATGGACATTGGGACTCCACTCAAGTACTCCCTCAATGCAAGAATACTTTGTTCTATTAAAGTGACATTCCATGATGCTCACCTTCCTCACATGATTGCTGAAGACAAATGGGTGCCTAAGCAAATGTGGTGAAGAAAGCTGATGGTGCCCAGCTATCTTAAAGGCTTGAAGGTAAACAAGCGGCCATCTAGCTCAGAAGCAACAAAGCCCATGTGGAATAAGCACACCAGCCTGTGTGATCACGAGGTGTCGAAGGGTTCAGGTAGCAGACATCAAGGAACAAAAAAATCATATCATTGTGAATGAGGGGTAGTGCAGATTGGGGACCCATAGCCCATCTGTAGGCAACTGGACATCCCCTTACAGAAGGGTCGCGAGGAGGAGACAATCCAGTCAGGGTTCAGTGTAGCAATGATGACAAACAACTTTCCTCTAGTTCCTAAATGCTTCCTCCCTACCCACTATCATGGTCCCAATTCTACCTTACAAATCTGGCTAGACCAGAGGATGTACATTGGTACAGATAGGAACTGGAAACAGGGAATCCAGGACAGATGAACCCTTCAGGACCAGTGGTGAGAGTGGCAGTGGAGGGAGGGTGAGGTGGAAAAGGGGAACCGATTACAAGGATCAACATATAACCTCCTCCCTGGGGGATGGACAATAGAAAAGTGGGTGAAGGGAGACATCGGACAGTGTAAGACAAACTAATAATAATTTATAAATTATTAAGGGTTCATGAGGGAGGGGGGAGTCAAGAGGAAGGGGAAAAGATGAGTTGCAGACACCAAGAGCTCAAGTAGAAAGCAAATGTTTTGAGAATGATGATAGCAACGAATGTACAGGTGTGATTGACACAATGTATGGATGTATGACTTGTACTGAGTTGTATGAACCCCTAATAAAATGATTTTAAAATAAATAAATAAAGATATGGGGGGGAAGGTACTCATATATACATTTCATATTTTAATAATCATTTCCAGATGTTCCTACCAAAAAATAGTAGGAACACGAAGCTTCTTTTTTCGTGTATCTTGCATAGGAACTGGTTTGATCTTAATTCCCCGGACCGTTGAAGATCTGGTATGCTTGTGAAAAGTGTCTTCATTTGGTAGATTTCCAGCTTTAGTAGTGACCATGTCAAACATAAATGTCTTAACTCTCTTTGTAAATAGCTTACCATACGTGAATTGATGAAGGTCTTCTAGCCTAACTCTTCCTCTATTCTCAATTTGGGGAGGGAGTTTGGCATGGAGCATATTTTGAAACATCACCCAAAAACTAGTTAGAGAGAGCTCCAAGAAGATTTAGGGTCACCACTCAGTTTAACTTGTTAGCTTTCCATTTGTTTCATCTGTTGGCCAAGGCCGAAAGGCAGCTGAATCAAAGGGTCAGGTGACTAACTAGCTTGCAGCTCCTTGGTATTGATAGCCGGGGGTGCTCAGGGAAATGTCCAACCCTATACCGCTGTCCAGTTAACTTTGCTCGGAATGCTGACCTTTCTGAGATTTGACCAATAAGTACGTGATTTGTAGCCAGCAGGCTCTTGGTCAGTAGATTACAGGAGAGGCAGTCACTTTTTCCCATTGTATCCGAAATGCTTAAGCTCAAATTTAAAACCTGAGATGGAAGACAGTTCTCAGTATAGATGGCAGCTGCATCACTTTGCCTCTGATGTCTTCCTTAAACCATTGGTTCTGGACCCAGAACAGAAATCATGTCAATGTGAATGAGGGGGAGCGCAGAGTAGAGACTCAAAGCCCATCTGTAGACAATTGGACATCCCCTTACAGAAGGGTCGTGGGGAGGAGACGAGTCAGTCAGGGTGCAGTATAGCACTGATGAAACATACAACTTTCCTCTAGTTCTTTAATGCACCCCCCACCCCCCACTATCATGACCTCAATTCTACCTTACAAATCTTGCTAGACTAGAGCATGCACACTGGTACAGATGAGCTCAAAGCACAGGGAATCCAGGACAGATAACCTCTCAGGACCAATAATGAGAGTAGCCATACCAGGAGGATAGGGAAGGGTGGGGGGAGAAAGGAAGAACGGCTCACAATGATCTACATATAACCCCTTCCCAGGGTGATGGACAACAGAAAAGTGGGTGAAAGGAGACAGTGGTTGGTGTAAGACATGAAAAAATTTTTAAATGAATTATCAAGGGTTCATTAGGGAGAGAGGGAGAAATGAGCAGATACCAAGGGCTCAAACAGAAAGAAAATGTTTTGAAAATGATGATGGCAACATGAACAAATGTGCCATGGATGGATGGATGGATTGTGATAAAGAACTGTAAGAGCCCCCAATAAAATGATTAAATAAATAAATAAGATAGCCTTTGGTTCTCCTATCATTAGACGAAAGGATATGCTGAAATGTTTATGGATGAAATGAATATGTCTGGGATTTTCTTCAGAATTATTTTGGAGGTGGGGGAGTTAATGGAAGTACAGATAATATTAAAGCAAGATTGGCGATGATTGGTTGATTCTTAAAACCGGGTAATGAGCATATAAACCCAAACAAATTGCCCTTGAGTTGTTTCTAACTGTTGATGACCCCATACCCATATGGGGGTCATTTGATTGTTCTGTTTCTGAGATATTGAGATTTACACACATGCCTCTCCCTCAGTCAGTCCCACAGGTGATTCTGATAGACCATTATAGTTCCCAGTCAACGGACTGTACTTAAAAGGAGCGATTCTCAACCTGTGGGTCACGACCCTTTTGGGGGTCGAACAACTGATTCATAACAGTAGCAATGAAAATAATTTTATGGTTGGGGGGGTCACCACAACATGAGGAGCTGTATTAAAGCGTCACGGCATTAGGAATGTTGAGAACCACTGCTTTAAAGCAACTTTGTTCGAATCTTTTTCCATACCTTAAAAGGTATTCCACTCTAAACTCAAGCCCAGTGGATTTAGATCCATGTGTTTACCAAATTATATTTGTGTCCATCAAGACTAGACGTGAAAACATGCCAAAAATGTGATCAGGTAGCTCTTTGTAGGGCTACATTAAGTCTTTTCATAGATTGGATTGCTTATTTTCAAGAGAGAAATCAATTTTATGGACATTATAAACATTTTTATATGAGGTTCATTGGTCAACTTGCATTTCCACCTGTGGAAATTAAGCAGAAATTCTTTTATAATCGATGTGAAGCTTTGGTTGATGGGTTGTAGGAAGGTAACTGGCATAAAAGGGCACTGAACTTCTGCTATTCGCCACCTACTTAGCTCTCAGCCCTGTGTGTCTCAACTTAGAAGGGAATACGTTCCCCCGAGACCCACGATGTATATTGTGTAAGATGGTAAACACGTGGACATTTGCTTTGTAAACTATGGTTCTGGCTATGGGCTTTGCCAATATGCCATTATCATTACAGTTCATCAGGTGTTGAATATGTTAATTTCATTAGCATGTATTTATCACACACTTGTGTTAGACTTGGTGTCGGTATACAACAATGGAAAACAAAACTTTCTGGTCCCTGCATC